AGGGGGGGGGGTGGAAGAAGCTGGTTGTGTAAGATCTGTCTACAGTGGTGCCCCAACGGTTAGCCAGACTACGGGTCAGGTATAGGTGGAGGTGGCAGTGAAGGTGGAGGTCAAGTTATGAAGGACGTGAAGGTAGGATCAAAGTGTAGGTGAAGGTGAATATGAAGGTGAAGGTGTGAAGAGGAATGTGACGGTGAAGGTGAAGGTGTGAAGATGTGAAGATGAAGGTGTGAAGGGGAAGGTGACCGTGAAGGTGAAGGTGAGGGTGAGGGTGAAGGTGAAGGTCAAGGTGTCAAAGAGAAGGTGAAGGTGTGAAGATGAAGGTGAGGGTGAGGGTGAAGGTGACAGTGAATGCGTGATTTAGATTCATGAATATTTTTTAGCTTATTTCCCTTTTTGATTAAGCGCATTTGCAAACCCTCCAATAACTCACTTATTTTCATGCAGAGTGGATGCCACTGGTTCGAATCACCATACAGAAGCTGGATTTTTTTTTTGGGGGGGGGGGATTTAAAAACCCTACACGCCTTTGGTTCTATTCTTTCGTAAAAGGGAGTAGAAAGAAACACTTTAAATGGTCGCTTTTAAGCACAAGAAGGCTATCCCAATAAATGCTGTTTTGAGAAAATCGAAGGTAAAGTTTTTGCCCCTTGTTGAGTTCCTTTAATAGACAAAGAGAGTTTTCTATATAACCAATCAAATATGTACACCAATGAAACCACACTTCTCTTATAGGTAGGACAATGCCCACTTTCGGTGTAGGTCAAGAATTCTGGAAATCCCGGAAATCTGGGTTAGCACATTGGTCCTTAAAAGCGACCAAATGATATCACGGGCTCTAATCCATACCATACATAAAACCACACCTAGTAAGTCAAGGCTGAGATTGTGACTCTGGTAGAAAGGAGAAGGTTTCAGGTGGCACTTGCAAATCTACACAAACATTAGACACACTCAAATGCACACACACATACACACACACACATTTGTTGCACCCCCCCCCCCACACACAAATGTACACATACACACACCGAGACACACACACTGACACACACACACACACTGACACACACACACAGACACACATTTGTTGCCACCCCAACACGAATGTGGAGAGAAGACGATGTACAGAGGTGGGGTGATAGATAGACAGATAGATAGACAAATAGATAGATAGTTGATAGATAGATAGATAAACACAGAAAGAAAGACAGAGACAGAGACAGGGACAGACAGACAGACAGACAGACAGACACACACACACACACACACACACACACACACACACACAAACACAAAGAGAGGAGAGCGAGAGCGAGATAGAGCGATATATATATA